GCCGAGCCCGGGCGGGCCGGGAGGCAGGGACAGGCGCCCTGCCCTCTGCAGGCAGGAAAGGGCTGAGCCCGGAGCCTGCCTGCCCCGCATCGCGTCCCGGCTCGGCATCTCCAGCGGCCCCCAGCGCCCGGCCCGCCCCGCGGGCTCTGCGAGGTAAGGCGAGAGGCCAGGTGAGGGCAGACACACAAACACACAACAGACACAGTGGGCACAGCCGCACAATAGGCACAGGTGGGCACAGACGCCCAATAGGCACAGGTGGGTACAGACACACAAACGCACACTAGGCACAGGTGGGCACAGACGCCCAATAGGCACAGGTGGGTACAGACACACAAACGCACACTAGGCACAGGTGGGCACAGACGCCCAATAGGCACAGGTGGGTACAGACACACAAACGCACACTAGGCACAGGTGGGCACAGACGCCCAATAGGCACAGGTGGGTACAGACACACAAACGCACACTAGGCACAGGTGGGCACAGACGCCCAATAGGCACAGGTGGGTACAGACACACAAACGCACACTAGGCACAGGTGGGCACAGACGCCCAATAGGCACAGGTGGGTACAGACACACAAACGCACACTAGGCACAGGTGGGCACAGACGCCCAATAGGCACAGGTGGGTACAGACACACAAACGCACACTAGGCACAGGTGGGCACAGACGCCCAATAGGCACAGGTGGGTACAGACACACAAACGCACACTAGGCACAGGTGGGCACAGACGCCCAATAGGCACAGGTGGGTACAGACACACAAACGCACACTAGGCACAGGTGGGCACAGACGCCCAATAGGCACAGGTGGGTACAGACACACAAACGCACACTAGGCACAGGTGGGCACAGACGCCCAATAGGCACAGGTGGGTACAGACACACAAACGCACACTAGGCACAGGTGGGCACAGACGCCCAATAGGCACAGGTGGGTACAGACACACAAACGCACACTAGGCACAGGTGGGCACAGACGCCCAATAGGCACAGGTGGGTACAGACACACAAACGCACACTAGGCACAGGTGGGCACAGACGCCCAATAGGCACAGGTGGGTACAGACACACAAACGCACACTAGGCACAGGTGGGCACAGACGCCCAATAGGCACAGGTGGGTACAGACACACAAACGCACACTAGGCACAGGTGGGCACAGACGCCCAATAGGCACAGGTGGGTACAGACACACAAACGCACACTAGGCACAGGTGGGCACAGACGCCCAATAGGCACAGGTGGGTACAGACACACAAACGCACACTAGGCACAGGTGGGCACAGACGCCCAATAGGCACAGGTGGGTACAGACACACAAACGCACACTAGGCACAGGTGGGCACAGACGCCCAATAGGCACAGGTGGGTACAGACACACAAACGCACACTAGGCACAGGTGGGCACAGACGCCCAATAGGCACAGGTGGGTACAGACACACAAACGCACACTAGGCACAGGTGGGCACAGACGCCCAATAGGCACAGGTGGGTACAGACACACAAACGCACACTAGGCACAGGTGGGCACAGACGCCCAATAGGCACAGGTGGGTACAGACACACAAACGCACACTAGGCACAGGTGGGCACAGACGCCCAATAGGCACAGGTGGGTACAGACACACAAACGCACACTAGGCACAGGTGGGCACAGACGCCCAATAGGCACAGGTGGGTACAGATGCACAAACACACAATAGGCACAGGGGGGCACAGACGCACTATAGACACAGGGGGGTACAGACACACAAACATACAACAGACACAGTGGGCACAGCCGCACAATAGACACAGGTTGGTACAGATACACAAACACACGACAGACACAGGTGGGTACATACAGACACAAAAGTTCCAGAAGAACATGCATCAAGGACTTGTATGGACTGATCTGTCCATACAGTTTTTTTTACTAGCCCCAGTCAATCAGCGGTTGCTTTATCCTATATAATATGACTAGCGGTGTTATGAGTCATATATATGAAAAGGTCTAATGCTGCTTTAAACCTTGCTAAATGTTTGATGTCAATGACATACAGTGGCAGTGAGTTCCACAGGTGAACTGCATGTCATGTATGAAAGTAATCAGTTTACCTACCCGAGGAGTGTTGGTACCTCCAGGCCTGAGACTTAGAGCCCTCAGCCAACCCCTCCAGGTCAGGACCAAAGTGCCACAGAACTTTTTCCAGTGCCGTGGATTTGCTCCATGCAGACAGAGGCAAGGTGTCTGGGCTGCAATATGACAGTTAGGAAAGATGTGGAGGAAAGGAGGGGCAGGTGGCGATCCATTCAAAAGGCAAGTTTCCTACAGTCTGGGCGAACCACGAGAGGATTCGAGCAGGGAGAGAACAGTCCAGGTCTTTGCTGAAGAGTTTGGACTTTTGTTTATTTTTTTAACTTCTCAGTGAGGTACGTACAGCAAAATGCATGCCCCGAACTCCGGCAGGCCCATCCCCACTGTGGTGGCACAGCCGGCACTCGAAAGCCATCTCATTGTGAGGCAGAGGGAAGGGAGCTCCAGCAGCCGGGAGGTTAAAATGGGCAGCGTAAGGCAGTGGTTTTCAAACTTTTTTTCTCATGACCCATAATTTGACTAGAGTGCGGGCTCTGGGGTGCAGTTGAGGAGCAGAGCTTTGGGGTATAAAAGGAGGCTTTGGCTTTTTTGGGGGAGTCAGGGCTGGGCAGGAGGGACTTTCCTTGCGCAGCTCCCGGTCAGTGGTGCAGGGGTGTTGTTTGAAAACCACTGGCATAAGGTACTTAGGGTATGTCTACACTGCCACCCTAGTTCGAACGAGGGTGGCTAATGTAGGCATTCAAGCTTGCAAATGAAGCCCGGGATTTAACTATCCCAGGCTTTATTTGCATGTTCCCGGGCGCCGCCATTTTTAAATGCTCCGTAGTTCGAACTACCTGCCCGCGGCTACACGCAGCACAAGCTAAGTAGTTCGAATTAAAGCTCCTAATTCGAACTACCGTTACTCCTCCTGCAATGAGGAGCATTTAAAAATAGCAGCGCCCAGGAACATGCAAATAAAGCCTGGGATAGTTAAATCCCGGGCTTCATTTGCAAGCTTGAATGCCTACATTAGCCACCCTCGTTCGAACTAGGGTGGCAGTGTAGACATACCCTTAATGACTGTCAAGCAATTGGCACAGAATCTGCCTAGCCACACCTCCATGCCTTTATATAAGAGAGATGGGCGAGGATCTGACCACCCACGAAGTTATTTAACCCAAACTTAATTGCCTTTGTCTTTATATCCAGCCATGCAACCCCCAGGATCCAAACAACCCCCCAACTTTGGGGGATTCATTATGCAACCTCCTGTTTTGCAGCTCGGGCCCATCTCTTTCCCATAAAGGCAAGAAGCAAGTGCTTGGCGGGATGCAACATCTTTCCTTGCCACGCCCCAGTGAGGTAGCTGCAATACACCTGTGCAGGAACGGGTGGAAGGGACGAGCGTCTGAGTGGGGCAGTGTAAATTGGGACACACACAGCACCTACTCGCAGCTTAGTGAGACATGCCCGGGACACTGGTGCGATGTTTTCCCGGAGGGTCCCGTAGCCAGCCGATGAGTGTGGTGCAATGTTGCAGGGCTCGTCATGTGGTACCTTTCCTGGCATTTGTATGGGCGGAGGGCTCTGCAGAACCAGCCCAGCCGCATCTCTCAGAGGTGGGGAACGCCCTCGCTCTGGTGCCTGCTCACCCGGCTGAATGACTCTCTCAGTGCTCACGTAGAGGCTGCCCTCTCTCCGTGGCTTCTGCACCGTTCTGGAGACAGTGCAGGGACGCTGGCATCCCGCAGTGCGGGCAGGCCCCCAGGCAGGCAAGCTATAGCGCAAAGGCCGGGGTGGCCGCATGGTGTTCGAGGCTACAGCTTCCAGCTGCGGAACCCGGTTTGGCCATTGGGAAGTGGGGGCGGGGGAAGCAATAGATCATTGGTGGTGGGCTGGAAAGTAAGCCTGCTCCGCACTTTCCCAGTGGCAGTGTCGCTGGGTGTTGTGACCTGACCCAGACTCTCAGCCAGAGGAGCTGGGCCAAATAGTGGTGCTGTGCCAGGGTGCCCGGAGTAGCAGTGCCACGCGACTCCATGCACCATCTCCTGGAGCAGGCAGCTGGGCCCAGCCCAATGGAACCTGAGCTGCTGCTGCCAGGTGAGCACGGCATGGGCTCACTCCGCAGCTCCCCCCACACCTCCTTTGTCAATGGCATAATGTGCTTGAAAAGGCACCGCACGTACAACGAAAGCGTCCCCCATCCTGTGCTCCTCTAATCGTTTCCAGCCATGCGCGGAATAATTTTTTACATGCACCGAGGCATGTGTGAATGTGCACCACCAACAGAAACACAAAACCTAGCGCTGGGCACTTTACTAATCAGCATGGCGGCATTTGAATTTCTTCTGAGCGGCCGCACATGCGCACAGCTTACAGGGAACACTGTTGGCTCCGTCACTGCACGTCACAGCTAGCGCAGCAAGCCCAGTGTGGCCTGTACAGAGTGCGGTCTAGCAGCACATCTGGGCTGGCTCACCTTATGGAATGCCCCCAAAGGTGCAACGAGTGCTCACATCTGTGTACGGGGCGGGGGGGAGGCAAACAGGCCTCCGCGGGCCAGATCCAGCCTGCCACGCGGGTTGATCCAACCGGCGGAGGTCCTGCCACTCTCGCACCCCCAGGCCAATGA